ATGTTGAATGTGCCCGGAAAGGAAATGGACCCCTTAAAACTTCCCTGGTCAGGAATCAAGTGCTGGAGCTGCAGTTTCCAGCTCTGGCTGCTAGCTGAAGGTGATGGGGCTAGAGCAGACATGAAGTCCTGCTAGAACGACCCCATTCCTATCGATTTAAAATAGGTCAGGAAGGCAAATTTTTTCTGCAGTGGCACAAGTCCCAGAGCAAAAATGATGCCCTGCACAAAACAGTCCTGGTCTATGAGTAGTAGCTCTGAGATACTTTGGTAATATAAATAAATAAACACCTGCTCAGAACTGCAGAAGTGTCTCACTCAAGCAACATATTTTAGACAAGTTCACAGCTTTTTCTCCACACAACAGGTCTTCCCAAAAGATTGGCACTGAAAACTGCTTGACTGAATTTCTAAACCCAAACTAGACCTCATTTCTAGTCTCCTGCAAGCCTAGCCTCATGAAATCTCAGCAAGAGCTTTCTTTACTGCAGTTTGCTCCAACCTGACTCCAAAATTGTAGCTGAAAGTGCACAGAAATTCGCCTGTTTCGAGACTTTTTAAGCGAACACCTCTGGTGCCGTAAATGCTGAGAGCATTCTGAGGGCATGAAAGTTCAGACTCAAACTCTGCCAGCACAGAGTGAAGACTTCTTTTTTTAATCTTGCTACATTTTGGATTTAACATTTACCTTCAACTCCAGAGGACATTAAAACATACTTTTTATAGAGGAATATGCAGCTGCAGTTCCTCTATATCTGCTAACTAACATTTTAAAAAAGATCCACTGGACCTAGTCCTACCAGCTTGCTCCTGGTCTAAATCATCACTGACTTCTCAGAAAGATTTTTTAGATTAAGCTCTGCAGTGGCGGGAAACCCATGTGCGAAAAAATAGAGAAAGCACAAAAGATGTCTTAATTTTGATATGAACAGAAGGTCTGCAAATCAGATCGATATGCCTAATAACTTTCAAAATTATTTAAAGGTGGAGTTTAAATAAGCAGCCAAGTTTTCAGCAGATGCTCCGGGATGCTTGATGCTCAGCACTTCTGAAAATCTGTCTGTCCTTTCAGATGCTGAAATACTGAGGTAGGCATCCACTATATTAATGAACCGTTTTTGGAAAAACACAAATGAGCCTAACATTTGCTTATATTAGACTAGGGAAAAAAAAGGTGGATTTTTTGTTTTCTTTTTTCTTTTTTTTTTTTTTCCCTCCATTCGAGTTGCTTTTTTTTTCTTAAGAGGAAGAGGATTCACTTTCATTCCTTTTCTACACAGGTACATTTATTATTGAATAAGCACCATCATGTGCTCAGTGTGATTAAAGAAAGAAATGTAGGCCTTGCACTCAGGTAGCTCACAAGAGAAAAGAAAAACCTCAAGAGATGTCATGGGGGAAAGTGTACTTGCCTCCACCACCTCTTAAAGGCATAAAAGCATCTTTCCCGTTTCTGTTGTGCTCTGTATTTACAGAAGACATTTCTCCAGCACAGGCAAAAGAAGAACATTTTATTGAATTTTAATATATGGGCCTGCAGAAATACTGGTTTAATATGTGTGTGTGTTTGTGTAACACTTGCACTGCGCACACATTTCTAAAGGGATGTGTTACAATCTTGTGGTTTCAGAAAAACTTGATTAATAGCTCACTTTCCAATATTGGCATAGTAAAGGATTTTTGTAAGTTAGGCTTTTGCATTTTTCCAAAAGCTGTGTTTGGAACAACATCACTATTTTATATTAAAATTAAAGATGAAACCAGTGGCATACTACCATAGATATCAAATCTGAAGTAGCTGAATGCCCATTTTCAGGTGCTTGTAGCTACTGTTACAGAAAATTGAATTCAGCTGCATCCTTGAAATTGGTTTTGAAATTTCTTTACAAACATAGAAAAAGACTTTATCATAATATTCTTCTCATGTTCCAAATACTTATATTTTGAAAACCTCAACATAACAGAAATCATATAAAGAATTCTTATTTGACACATTAAAGACACAACGTTTTAAATTTCATTACTGCTTTCTTGACTGTGTGTCACAATTTTGTAAAGATCAGGTTCCCGTGCTGAATTGGGAACGTCTTCGCTGGGATGAATCATTTGTTTCCCAGCTGAGCATGGTGGTTTCAGTTTATAGCCTGCTAAAAAGTAGGGAGTTCTGCTTAAAAAATTGCAACAAACAAAAAAACCCCCCACACTGCGATTTCTGTGGAAGAACCTCTAAGCACAAGTAGGGATCGCGCTCGTCTTGCAGAGGCTTTTCCATCCAAGCCGAGGGGGGTCTGCAGGTGCAAAAGGAAGTTGGTAGCACATGGCAACAGCCAGTCAAATGAGGCTGCGCCCATTCTTCGATTACCGAGCTGCACCCCTTTGTTAAATATTTGTCTTCAAATCAAGAGAAGAAAGAACTGAAGGGTGTCTTGTACACAGGTGCCTGACAGTCACAGAGTGGTTATGGGGAAAATTCACAGCAAATCACCATGCAAACACTTCTGCTGCTTCCCAAGTCAAAATTGCTTTTGGTGCAATAAATGAAATGCCCACTATATCTACTATAGACCTACATACTATCAGGTAGCATGTACACAGCATTATTTTACTTATCAGTTTACTGGATAAGCCAAGTCACTGTCATCTGTTGTTGTAACTGATATGGTATTTTGGAAGAAAAGATGAGAAATTTTGCTCCATGTTTTTGCCTTAGGTGAACAACACTGTACATGTGTATACTCTAACACTTATTTTACAAAGCATGTTTAGTGACTCAGAAAAAAAATTAATCCAGACTTGCAGGAGTTCCCTTTATTATTGAAAATATTTGCAGCTTTAATATTAACCTACCTTAGTTTTTGAAATTGAAGTCTTACAGATGCATGGGACACACATATATACACACAGACATGGAATACACGTGTTACTTGCAAACAATTTTCAGTTAATACGTTAACTAGAAATTGACTGTGACTTTCATGATATTTTCTGCCCTGTCTGTTGAGCCAATGACCTATTTAAGTACATTGGCAACAATGTGTATGTCTTGTGACTTTATATTTCACAAAGAAATACTGTGTTTTGTGTTATTTACATTAAAAAGACTTAACATGTAAAACTTCACCTTTGTTAAAAATCACTTTATCCTAAGTAATTAAATTATTTCATGCTTTCAAAAGGCACAATTAAGTATCTAATGAGAACTTCCATTCAATGTTGCACATAATACAAAAAGGGAAAAAATGTTTGAGACATCATTGATAATACTTTAAATATATTGGCATAGGAAAGTAGATGTCTTTTTGCTTTATTAAACTGACAGTTCCGTTCTGAAACTTTATTTTGAAAAGATTTAAAAAGGATTTGTGTCTTTAGAAATAAAAAATATAACAGGCATATCTAAAAAATATAGAAGAGAAAACCTGATTGTTACTACTAATGAAATAGCTGATGACAAAATAGTAGTCTTTTTGATTTTGATCACAAAAAATAAACTGGTAGTGACAGGATATGATGGATAGATTTGACATCCTGGCAAATCACTGTCATTGATTCAATTATTCTAATTCAGAATAAAAGCTGTATACAGTATGTGTTTATGCTACAGTGGAGTTTTTTAAGTGATTGACATTCATCATATTAGTTAGACAGTTTTAAAAGCTATGTCTTTGTTTTACACAGCATTGTCAAGAAAAAATAAAGTAGAACCTGGATTGCAGGAAAAAAAAACCCAAACCACTTAACCAGCTCCTGGTTCCAAACCCATCAAAATAAGTTACCATTATTGCATCCTATTAACACATTCTTTGAAGAGTCAATTTCACTCCAGCCATGTAGTATACTATTATAAAGACTAACTTTTGAAACTGTAATGCAATCTTACAGCTGGGTGGCTTGGAAATTCTGCGGAGAAGACGATATTACCTTTCAAAATGGAAGTCAGCCTCAGAAGAAAGAATGCAAACCACTTGAATTTACAGGTCAGCTTTGCTTTACCCTTCTTTTGTTTGATGAGATATACACAGAGATACATACAAAATAGTCAGAAGTTCACAGATTGTGTATCTAAGGGTACAGAAGCCTGATTTGGTTGTATATTCTGCCCTGCTTTAGACCAGCATGCTGTGATACCCTTCCCCGAGCTCAAATGCACTCTTCTGGTTTTCTAGCATTAATGTAGCTGTCGGTTTGAATTTCAATCTTGAATTATGTCTGTTGACATAATTTCATAGTGCTGACTTCAATTGTTTAGGATTACTGTTTTGAACTACATAAGGAAATAAATTCTTTTCTCTATGGTTAGTAAATTCCACTCAAGTGCATTTTAATGCATGTAGTAAGCCATAAGACAAAGTAATTATCTATATTTTGATTCAATAAACAACCATTCTTAATTACTGGTATATTAGAACAAAAACTATCCTATATTTTTAAAATTTATTATTACACATTTAATAAGCCAATGTAAATATTTCCTGAAATTTAAGAATAGTATCTCAATTACAAAAATTAATGTTTTTAAAACCATAACTGTGTAGTTTGCTTTCGGAATAATGTGACAATGAATTGCTTAGTTTCATTCCCTTATTTCAATAAACCATCCAGCTTAATATATTATTCATAAAAATATTAAATGTAAGTATATAAAAATTCAATTGTGAAAAAAATCCCTTTATTTTTATTGTAAAAAAAATCTATAAATGAAAGGGTAATTTTCATATTTTAAGGAAAGGAACAAAATACTGTATGTTTCCAATGGAGCAGAACAATGGCAGGTCCCAACATAACAGAAGCTTTAACAAAAAGCAAAATCCAAACAAGCCCAAAATTGGTGCAAAGAAACCATAATGAAAAAAAAAAAGAAGAAGAAAGAAGGCACCATATGATAACATGTATTTTTAAAGACTGCTGGGTCAAATCATTAAGAAAAATATTTATATAAGTCATTAACACTCATAATTAGAGTGTCATATAAATCTGAGTGAAACTGCTAAGTAGAAATCACTAGAAGTCCAGGTGCTTCTTGCCGATGGCCATAGCACCACATCCTGAGCTCAGCAGTTTGGCGGATTCTGCCAGATCCTGTTTGCTCGCGCGGCTCACTGTGTCTGACAAGTCTGGAGGCAAATGCAGTCGCTGTGGCAGGAGATTTTCAGGAGGGAGAGGCAGAGAGATGGGGAGAGAGAGAGAAGAAAGAGAGAGAGGAGAAAACAGAGAGGGGAAAAAAAAAAGAATAATTGCAGTAGAATTTATTTTCCATAGCATATTTCAAAATGCAGTCTTTTTCCAGACTGAGCATTGTTTACTCACACAAATAAAACACTTCCCAGACACTCTTTTAGGCTGACCTGGAAACAGTTTTGCATATTTTCAATATCTCGAATTATGTAAACTGGAATTTATTTGTTCCTCATGAAAATTTTCTAAACAAAATCTAAATTTGCTTGAGCTATTTAATTATATCCATGGACATTTTTCCTTTAAAAACAAGTGTCCTTCCTGTATGTCAACCCCTACATGAAATCCTTTGATTTCTATGGCATTACAATATAAGTACAGTTTTATTTCAAACACAAATACTTTGTGGCAGAGTCTGAGAAGAAATGATGTGATGGTCAAGAGATGGAGAGTGCTCACCCCAGTTGCAGCGTTATTCTGCTAGAGTGTTTCTTCACATTCTACAGCCATTTTTAAATAAAAACAAGTAGTGACAATAGCTGCATTTGTGCAAGGCAACGATATATGCTAGTCAAACCTTGCCATCCCTTTGTGAGCTGCAGGAACATTACACCCATTTTACAGATGAGGAAACTGAGACACAGGTTACACAGTTGTCCCCAGGCACACAGTCCTTGCATAATAAACCTTTTTTTTTTTTCAACTATAACAAAAATATTACAACTCTCCCTCTGAAGATTCTTTTACACTGGAGATATATAAAAGACATGACATTACCGCTTAGCTTTTGTAAAGTAAGGTGAAAACTAACGAAAAACCGAGGCTCACTTTTGGACAGAGTGAGGTACTGAAAGGCAGCCAGATGAGACAGTTAAGCACCTTATACAGGGTGCAATAATTTATGAAACTGGTATAATGGAAGGAGCATATTTCTTGAAAGATTTAGTAGGCAGAGGCTAAACTGTGTGGCTCTTCTTTTAAAATGCACATGCTTCTGAAGGGAACAGGATAACTGTTAACGGCTGCAAAACTATAAAAGGAGGCTGTGTGGATGCTCCTTATTCTCTACTTTTGCTGGTTTTGCTTTTATCACAACATGTAAATACAGCTGCCTTTCATTCGATACCTTTGCAACTTTTGTAGGATCCTTTATTCATGCAGATAAGAATTCAACAAAAAAGCCCAAGAGCTATCCATATTTACAGTGGGCTGACTGTCCAGCTCATTGCTGGCTTTGAGGTTGTGCAGTTAGACATAACTGGAGAGGTGCTCCAAAGTGTGTCCTGCCACTGTCCGCTCTGGTGGTGGGCAGAGCAGGGAGAACAATGTGCGCTGGCTTGTCTTCTCTGAGGGAATGAAATGCATAAAGCAACACATATGGAGTAGGAAAGCCTGTGCCAAGGTGAGGTGACACACCTCAGTGTTGAAACAGAAGAAACGTGTGCATTCATTTCTAGCACTTTGCCTATGTAGCACGTAGGAAATCTTACAATTTATGTATCAAAAACCACCCTGTACACACCATTCAGTAACTATGCAGCTCCTCTTACATTTCACTGTATTAAAATAAATGCTGTGGTATGGTATCCCTCACCTTCAGTTCTTCCCTTATTCCTAAGAAGGTTAAGCATGTCTGCGAATGTGAACCACGGTCATGATGCTTAATTTCTACATCAACACAATATAAACTAGGGCATGTGCCTATCTTGTTTGTCTGCTGAGAAAAATGATTGCTAGGAAAGAGCCAATGTACAACTTGGACTGTAGAGGCGGGCTGTAACCATTGGAAAATGAAGGATCAGGAAAAGCTGGGAAGTGCAGGGGAGCATTCAGAAGATCTTTCAGTCACATTTTCTTTCCAAGAAGGTGTACAGTACTCTGCTAGCAGGCTACAGGGTGTCTGGTATGTGGGAGGAGAGACACAAGTGAATCCAACCTTCTCCCACCCACGGTTAGCACCTCTCTGCCCTCACCGGGGAGTGGGAGAGGCGGCTTCCTCCAGGGGAAATGTAGTCCCGCTGTCTTCCTCCTGCAGTTACTGAGCCTTTCACCAAGTCTGCCAAATGGATTCAGAGCAAGGGGATGAAGAGCAAAAAGAACTGAGACTCAGCAAACTTGTCTTATGCAGGAACTAACCAATATCACAGACAGGGAACAACGGTAAACCCTGCCACACTGGCCTGGCCTTAGAGCCGTGGTCAAAAGGAAAAAAACCTTTGATACTCACACAGCCTCTTAGTCAACACTGTGTTTGCTTGTTAATAGATATCATAAACAGGAAACAGATAGAAGAATATTTATAAATTTGCAAAGACTCAGAGAGGAAAAGTAAAATTTAAAGATTCTCAGACTGGCTGGTGGCACTGACTTAGGCTTTTGCAGATACATTTGTTATGATAACAGTGTTTCATTATACATGCATATACCCTTCTTCCCCCATCTGATTCAGTGAAGAGGATGCATGCTGCTCACTTGGTGACTGGCTATTCAGTATTTTGTTTTCTTGTCACTGTTTACTCTGAACTTTTCTGACATATTTATTGTACACTATTCAAACCTTGTTCTGAAGACAGAATGGTTTTTCAATAGCACACGTCAGTATACAGCACTTGAATGCTTCACAAATATCAACTGTGTTATTTTCCTAATATTCTCGTGAGATAAGGCAGCAAAGTTACCTCCATTTTACGTATAGGGAATTGAGGCACACAAAACACACGACAAAAGGTATCTACTAATTTCAGAAACACCATCTGAGGCATTTAGGACTTGCTTTTCCAGAATGTTTAGTGCAGTACAGCATTTTACATGATCAAATGCTAACTTCATTGTAGCTCTGAGCGCTTAGTATTTCTTCAGGAACCTCAAGTCTGGCACTTGGAAAGTGAGGGACACAAAACAAGAGTACAGAAACAAAAATGCTGGGTTGAAACAACATGATCATACAGAAGCTCAGCGGTACAGGCAGAGACACATCACACCTTCCAAGATATCCCTCCATCGTCTTAATTATGAGACCATCCCTCCTGCAATCCTTCCCCTCTCTACAATCCCAATTTTTAAACGTTACAGCAAATTGCTGGTTCTCCAAGAAGCATATTTCACTGCATATGCCACATTCATCCTCGGATCAGATGTGTCCTGAACAATAAACAACACTAGGGTCCTCTGAAAACAACTGAATATTATCCTGCCATTAAGATCTGAACCATAGCACACATAAAAGCCTGATTCAGGATAAAGCCTGAACAGGCATTTCAAAATATAATTTCTTACATTTTCTGTGTGCAGCTTAAAAACACAAACAGGACTGCAAATATTAATCCTATTAAATATTTTAACAACATTAAAAGAAATTCTAAACTTGAAACCACACACAAACTGGAAACTCATCACATGGTGTTTCACGGACATCCACAGGTTAAACAACAGGCCTTTATTTTTGGCACCAGTAGGGACACTGCAGTCACTTGAGCTACTGCGGTAAGTGATAGCATGAATAGGCTGTGATCCTTTTTGAACACCAGCACTGCAGAACGATGATCAGATGTTTTCACAGGTATTCGCTGACCACAGAGAAACAGTCACATTTAAAGTCCCAGTTTAGGACAAAATGTTTTCTGGTGGACAGACTCCTCTGCTATTTCTGCGGCTGTGACCTCCATCCCTCTCAACCTTTCTGATAATCTTTCTTATCAGTCTGCCCCTGCCCTTCTTCTCTGCCCCCAGTGTGGGCTCACCTCCTGGTCCGAAAAGCAGGTACATCCCTGGCAAAGGGTCAAGATGACTATGCAGTACTGAGTGTGCCTGGGCCAAAGTGAGGCGGATTCTGACAAGAGAGCAAAAACTCACCCCTGGCATAAATGCTAGATACAAAATTGCATTTTTCCTTTTTTTTTTTTTTTTTAATTGAAGGTTTTAACTAAAACATTCCAGTGTGTGGATAAACACAAAACTTCCTCTAGCCCACAGCAAGCTGCCAGGCAACAATATTTTAAGGCAAAATGGTCATAGTCTGGCAAAAGTAAATATGCAAGTGAAAATAGGATCCTATAATTGCCCTCCTTGTGAACATTTCTTAAAGCCTGTACCAAAGAAAGGTAAAGTTTGACAGTTTAAAACCTATGGAATGCTGGAGTAAACTTCCTTTGTGCAAAGTTAATTGTGTATCTGTATTATAGGGTGTTTAATTACACAATCCCACACTATTTTCACCTATACAGGCTGTCAGAAAGGTTTAAACTTAGGATCTTCAGAATCAGACTATAAGCTTCATTCACCCGGTTAAGAAGTAACTGGCTATGGAAGAAGGCTCTTATTGTATCAGGCAAAGCCAGGGAAGGGGCATGATGTGAGTGCTGGTGCTTGCTGCCTGCTCTGTTTCGGGCAGGTCCCAAAGGCTTTGTGGTGATAGGAACAATTACACTGAACCCAGCTAAGCACACAGCTTTAGGGCATACCTTAGGAAAGGAAAACAGTTCAGACAAAACTTATTACATACTTTGTCTCTGCTCCTCCCCCTGCCTGAAGAAATCTCCTAATTACTTTATTTGTTCTCAATGGGGAAAAAACAAAAAAAGCTGAAGTGGAAAATAAGAATATGTAAAATGACAGGCCAGAAGAGACACTGAGCAATCAATTAGTCCAGTTCCAGCACTGAGGACTAATCACAGAACTGATGGTTTTCTGACACTGGTCTGCCTTGTAAGACTGGGACGTAAAGATTCAAAGATTCAAGCCACAGCTATTGTAGAAACTTTAATCAGGCTGGCACATTTGGTTGAGGTGCAATTTTGGTTTTTTAGACCAACAAAATCCCTACTAGACAAAAATACGAGCAAGTGCTTTTGCCCGTGGAGCTCATTGTATCAAGGGAATTGTTTTACAGATTTATTATAAAGAACAGACTTTCCAATGTAAGACTTTTTTTTTCTCTTCAGTATTAAGAGGATTAACCA